TGGATAGAGCGCCCGCCTGGTGTTCGGGAGGTCATGGGTTCGATTCCTGTCAGGAACTCAGAATTTTTCTTTGTCCCACGCTTGTGTCATGTTGATTAATTTGCCTTCACATTTCATTACCATGCTTAAAATTCACCATCTTTATTAACTTATCACTACTCACGATGACTTCGATAGCGTTGATCCTAGCAGTATGCAGGACACTTGTCACATATGAACTCAGTTAAATGACCTTGCTCTCCATGAGTTCTCGTAGTTCAGTGGATAGAGTGCCCGCCCGGTGCGCGGGAGGTCATGGGTTCGATTCCTGTCAGGGACTCAGAATTTTTCTTTGTCCCACGCTCGTGTCATGTTGATTAATTCACCTTCACAATGTTTATCTTGTAATGATACAGGAAAATCAAAATGTAAAAATTTTGTCAGTTCTCGTCCCTCTTCACAAACGTTTTCTACTATTTATTACAAATATGAACTGGATCAAAAATAACCCTGATCTTTTAATCTTCCTCAAGCATTCATGGGTGATGTGCGTTGACTGCAGGTGAATCCCCTTTGATCCCCTTCTGAAGAAGATGTTATTATGAATGACTGTCACAGAGTGATTTTGACTAGCACTTGTTTGAGTCTAATAATTAAATCAAACTTCCACTAAAGTGTTTGGAGGTGCGGTGGTTTGTGCACTTGACTCCATCTTTATTAACTTATCAAGATAAACATTATACTGCAGTATCAACTTTGTGAATTTTTTTTTCAACCCACTTAGAGGCACAGAAGATCTGAGATCTGTTGCTTTCCATAACTTTCTGGCGACAAACATTTACTTGTCACACAAGCCATCTTCAGTTTATTTTTTTACCACATTCGACAGTCAAAAATTGAAGGTTTGAAGAATCATTTAAAAAATGAAGTGATGAAACCAAATGATGAACTGCTTGTTGAGACCTGTTCATGTACAAAGTGCATTCACTGTTTAAAATACAGGTGAAATAAGTAGTCTAGTAGGCATAAAATTTTACAATCATAGCCACTTGTAACAGAAATGAAACATGAAAGTGAGGAATGATCATCGCCGTAAATAATCCAAATTAAGCAACTGGAAAGAAGAAGCCTGAAAAAAATCAGGGCTTCAACGGGATTCACCATTCCCGTTGAAGCCTTGATTTTTTTCAGGCTTCTTCTTTCCAGTTGTTTAAATTGGATAATTTATTGCAATGATCATTCTTCACTTTCATCTATAACCACAGTTCAAATATGAATTATTTCATATATACTTCACAGAAATGAAGCGTACAATGTAACTTTTGACAATCAGAATTTCTTACATTCAAGAAAGCCAAAGTCTGTGAAAGAATTCAGTGAAGAATATCTAGATTTCTTTATTTACTTGATGATGAAAGCCATGTGACAGGCTTATGACATGGGTATAGGATTAAGATGGGTAGCAAACAAGGTATATGTCTGATAATTTCCTCTTATTCTGCTCCAATAATCCAGAAATATCTTATTCTGCTGGTATAAATGAAGGTTGCTGGAATTGAAAACAACCAAAAATGGCCTACAGTGTAGTCTGGAAACTCAAACTCGGACCTACTCCTCTTCAAGCGAGAACCTGAAGACATTTAAAGGGCTACATCAAGTAAACATATCTGGAAAAGTTAAGCCCAAATTTTTCAAGTTCATTGTTTGTAATCCATACCAATCTTCTCCATCCTCAACCATCCTTGCTCCTTTATGATTTTTTGTAATCTTTTTGATGTTTTTCCATCTTACTAAATTATTATCTACAGGTTTCCTGTAATTTAAAGGTTATTTTTTGTACATGGCCAAAATAACTCAAAATAGCATGACTGAGCTCCTTTAAGACTATTTCAAGACATCACAACCATGAGCTGTTAAGATAAACATGATACTGTGGGTCCAACTCATTTTGTACAAAAGGGTTGTTCTTACTGCTTTCCCATAAAATAAGAATCATACTTGCTATAATTATTTATTCAGTCATGTTCTATATTGTTTATAGTGTCACTTTATAATTAATCAAAGATCAATACAATAACATAAAATTCATAAATTCATAAACTACATTTGAAATGAGATGACGTCCTGGTGCAACCTTATGTACACTGTAAATGTTGTTTTGAAAGCTGCACAAAGTGATAAATAATTCAATCCTTTCCTTCCTTGAAACACTAACTGAAGGCTAGGACATTTTGAGAAAAGAAAAGCCACAAAATTGGAAACACGTTCACTATTTCAATGGCAATACCGCGTATAAGCAAGAAACTAGCAAGAAACTAGCATGAAATAAGGCAAGCAAAACAGAAATCGACAGCATTTGGCGGTGTTCTGAAACAGTAACTAAACTAAACACTATATCCTGTTCGCATTTCACTGGAAAATTTCACTGGACATATATTTTCAATCGAAATGTCACGAAAGCAATATTATCTCGCAACAAAAGCCGAAAATAATAGCAACGAGAAAGCAATCAGTTAAATAAGTATTGCCCCCACATATAGCAGCTAATTGCAAAATTCTGCGTTGGAAAAAAACACAGAAATATTTGCCTTCCGCATGACTGACTGTTTGCCGGTGACTTCGGTTAACGATAGTGAGAGATCTGCAACGATCTAAGGCCTAGAAAACATAATAATTGAACAAAAACCCTCAAAGATGTTAAATAACACTACTTTTGATGTAAAAACGGTACACGGATCAAATTCCCTTTAAATATCAACTGTGATCGTGCACTACGCAGCTAAATTGGAAGCGAAACAGGAACAAGTCCAATTCGATTGATACTGTGACAAAAATACAAGAAGGCTATGGCAAATAAACATGCAGTACACTTACAAGACAGTCCAAAGACCTCGATCCACATCCTGAGATCCGTGAGAAAAGTTTAATGACGAAGCAAAAAATATATAACGAACAAACAAATGCCCGCTACCGCTCGCCAACAATATAGTGTAATTTGTTTTCCCTTCTCCCTCCGAATAGAATCATGGGATGACTCATACGATGAACGCGACTTTGGTCAGCGGAAGACATTTTACAAAAATGTTACTTTGTGTAGGAACCCATATATTATCCTCATGAGACCTTCGCAGCAAACACACTTCCCGTTTTATCGGAAGGCCGTCTTTGTCGGCGGAAGGGCAGCATGAAGTCCACTAGTTGATCAATCGAGTCATCGACATTTTAACGAATTGATTCAGAGGTAACTCAGCAACATGGTAATGGCATTTCAGTCTATTGTGGATGACACAAAAGCAACCGCCACGTATGCTTAACATGCGGATTTTTGAGAGATAATTTATAAGAGGAGTTAATTGAGCTAAGCTGATTCGTTTTCGACCTAACAACAACATTGATTCGACATGATGAGACAGCGCGCAAGAAGCGTTCTTCTAGTCGGCATTCTATTTTCTGGACTTGTTGTATTCTTTGCTTTGGAAATTTGGCCGGTTAATACTTTTTCTGAGGACGAATCTGGACTCAACTCAACTCCAGACAACGATGATAGCGAAATATTCCGTTTGCAAGCTGGATCGCCACTTTCTGAGAAAAGAGACTCGAAGTGCTTAGCACACAGTTGTTTTGATATTTTTAGATGTGCAGTAAACGAAAACAAACTTATATCCGTCTATGTGTATCCATTTGCCAACTTTTTGGACGAGAATGGAAGAACAATCAACAAGGCAATGTCACAAGAATTTTATGAACTTCTGACAGCTATAATGAAGAGTAAATACTACACAGCCGATGTAGGAAAAGCCTGCATCATAGTTCCTTCAGTAGATACTCTGAATCAAAATGGAATGGATATTAAAGGGTACGCCAGAATTCTCGCAAGCCTACCAAGGTAAGTTTTATCTCTGGTATATAAGTGAAATTAATTAGAAGGATCAATTGACAGAGGTACGAATCCTTCGAATTAATTTCACTATCCAACCTGTTTCCATCAGCCACAAGATTGAGCGAGACCTGAAATCACGTGAAGTCAAGCCGCCAGTCGTTAACCAACAGTCTCTTGTGTACCATTTTAAATGTGACCTGTGCGATGCAGGTTATGTTGGTTTTACGCGCCGGCACTTGCACCAACGTGTCGATGAGCACAAAAACCCATCGTCATCAATTGGAAAACATTTTCGCGAGGAACATTCTTTGGCCCCTAAAGATCTTACTAATAACTTTTCGATTTTAAAGAAATGTACAACCAAGTTTGACTGTCTTATTTTTGAAATGTTTTTTATTCATGAACTGAGACCAAGTCTCACTGTACAATCTGACTCTATTCGTGCGAAAGTTTTTAAATAATCTTTTTTTTTTATTAATTAGTTTTACATGTTTTTTATTGTTCTAAGCACTACTTTGTAAATTCTTTTACATACTTTTTACATATTTTTACTTCATTAATAATTTTCACACATTCTTACCTCTTTGTAGCTATATATATCTATGCAAATTTTACTTCTTACATCTTGCTTGTTAATGACCGAAGAGCAGTCGAAATGTCGCAAACTTTTACCGTTTATTTTTATTGTCAAATGTTTTAAAAAACCCTTACTGATAAGGATTATAATAAATGAGTGATCATATGAAGGCTCAAGCAATTAAGGATTTACACTACTCGTGATATTTGAAAATTGTTTCAAATTGCACTCGTCTTAAGGTCTGTGCAATTTTGAGAGAAGTTTCAAATATCACTTGTAGTGTAGATCCTTAATTGCACTCGCATACATGTACATACAATTATCTATTCTTATTACACAATGAAGTTAGTTCACAGAGCCAATAAATAAAATGAACCAATCAGATTGCTCCATTGCTGGTCCAATATTGATTTTACTGGACCAAGCACTGTCCTGAATGTTCCCCTGCCGTCCTGTTGACAATTTTCTGGTTGTTTTGTGGCTTACTCAGTTTCCCAAAAGAATGACCTTACCCATAACAAAGTCTCTTTCTCTTTTGTCAAATTCTCTTGTCCTTCTCTTTGGAGAATGTCAAACATGAGTAAATGGCAAGTTGAAATATCTCAGAACTGTATGCTGGAAGTTTACAGTGTCTTTCTATTCTGTGATTGTGGGATTTTTTTTTTTTTGAAACATTTTCAGTCATGCAATAAATCTCTTATAAACCAAGTTTGCTTGGGACTGTACTGGGAGAATATTAGCCCTTGGTCTTAATTGTACAGACCTTGCTATATTCAGTCCTTAGTGTTGACCTCCGTGTGATACTCTCCTAGTGCAGCCCTCATGTTTGGTTAATAAAATATATTCATAACACAACCAGGTTAGATAAGAGAGGAAATATCTAAAACCAACCAATCAGTCTTCACCATTGCTAGTGCAATATTTGCCAATGATTGTTATTATTATTGGACTGGGCACTGCCCTAATTGATCCAGCGCCAGTACTCTTAAAGATGTTTTGGTTTTGCAAAAAGAATTTACTTAGTAAGTAAAAAAGTAAAGCTTCACTTTCTTCGTCTATTTTTGAAAATGTCAGAGGTGAGTAAATGCCAAATTACCTCTCAATCAGAACTGCATGCTGTTTTCATTTTGTTTTCTTACCACCTAACAAAGTATTCCCTTTCACAATCTTTGGTCATATATATCACTAACCCAGAACTAACGTCTATTTTTCAATGCTTTTCAGTTGGGAAGATGGAAAAAATCATTTATTGTTCAATATGCTGCCTGGTGGTGCCCCTGATTACAATTCAACTTTGGATGTTGCAACTGATAAAGCTATAGTGGCTGGAGGTGGTTTTGCAACTTGGAGCTATAGAACAGGATATGATGTCAGCATTCCTGTGTTCAATGCTCTCACAAATCAAAGAATTCCCCGTAGCTCACTGAAGAGGTAAGTGATTTGTATCAGTCCCCTTTCCCTAATAATTGCCCTGAAAAAGTTCAAGTGTTTATAACAGTTGCATAACTTGGATTCATGAGTTGCACCAGGTGACTAGGCTCCTGCCATATCACTGCAAGTGTCTAGCATGAGATGCATAATCATAAAGTAGTACTTCACTTTATCTCGCTGACAGAAAGATATGAATCACATTCACCACTTAAACCAACCATGCAAAATTAATGGTAAGTATACCTGTTTTCAGGACACATTTTAATCACACCACTTGAATCAATTGAATCTTAACCCAAATGACTTGAACAAGGGATGTGTTTTCGACAACCCTGAATTTGTACTGGGAGACATTGTGGGACTGAAACAATGGATGGTATCCCTGTGCTCTGTTATTAGGCAAGGCAGTCTACTCTCACACCATGACATGAACCGTTAAATTCTCAGTAGACCTGTACTACATACTTGGGTTGCCTGGGATGAGCTAGTGTTGGCATCTCATCCATGCAGTGTGTAGTGGCAATACTCCTATAATTGGTTCATACTATTTGAGCTTAAAATAGGCACCAGATTGATAAACCACTTAGCCACTATTCACTGACAGATATTTACCTCTTAATTGCCAGTTAATTTCTTTGTTGATACTTAAGAGATTTTTTATCTTGAATTCAAAGTAAGTAATTTTTGCTTGTGCAGGACAAATGAGTGGATGCTTGTATCCTCTCAAACTAACATGAACCACATGTTCAGACGTCAACTTGAAGATGTCGAGAGAGAGAACTCTGGCTTCCTAATCCTGAAACACTGTGCTGATGATTCCAACAATGTGTACAAGAGATGTAAGGGAACGATATCATATCATTATCCTGATATCTTGCAGGTAAGATACTTGCCCTAGTTCACTAGTGACTGTTACATGCCTGGACCCTTTAGGGAACTATGAATGTTGTATATTTTCTTGAATAGTAGCTGCCCCTCAATTAATTGTCCCCCACAAATAATCACCCCTGTGGTAGTGTTATTTAAAAAAGTAACCTCACTTGAATAATTCCCTCCCAACCCCCTACACCTCAGCATTGTCCTCTAATAATTAAGCCCCTTTCCCTATATCTCCCCTTGCTTTCACCCCACTTCCTCCCCTNCCCCCCTCCCTCAATCAAGTTAAAAAAAAAATAACACCTTGAATATCCAACTGGATAGGATACAAGCATCGATTAAGCATTATATACAACATATAATTTACAAATTAAAGCACAAATTAAATTAGATATCAAATGCAATGTTTAGACATACCAGTACTAACAGTTTTGCACTTTTTGGATGATGTGGATATACAGTTAATCCTCTAGAATATTGATGACACCTTAAGTTACCTGATTAGTCATCTACATATATGTACATTTGTTTCTTGGGTCAATGAAATCAAGAGATTTTAAAAGCATATTTTTCATATTGATAGGTAGAAATGTAATAAGGCTTCCTACATAATTATATATTATGTTCAACCAGTGAAATTGTACATTTCTTGTTTATCTTAGCATGCTACATTCTGTCTGGTTATTCGAGGAGTCAGGTTGGGACAAACAACATTATTAGATGCACTGATGATGGTGAGAAAAATTTAGTCATGTGATGATTAAATAAAGTGGATGCTTGTTTAGAAACCTTTAGTTCAATATTTCTCGATCTGTAGAATTGGATTATAAGGTAATTTTCCATTGCCTGATTGAAATAAAACAAATTGGTCAGCTTGACGTGCTTCCCATTTTCCTGGGAGAAATTACCGCCTGATTACTACATCTATACCAGTTTGTCAGGAGTTTTTGATCCCGTGTTAATATATTTTTTTTCAATTTTAAGTCATTTTGATATTCTTCTTTGATTCATTGTTATAGTTACTATAATTTTAATCTGGAGCAAGATGTGATAAAAATCAAACAGGTTTGAATTTGTTTTGACCAGAACCAATTAAAACCACAGTAAACATGTGCAAGTGAGGTATAAGAGAGAGAGAGAAATGAAAATTACATTTCATTTATTTTTTATGATTAGGGCTGCATCCCTGTTGTAGTCAGTGATGATTACATTTTGCCCTTCTCTGATGTTTTAGACTGGAAAAGGTGAGTTTAAATATTTAAAATTCAGAAGCAAACAGCCTCGACTGAAATATATTTCTGGGAAAACTATACATACATAAAGATGTGAACTTTATTTTAGTGCCTATAAGATTTAGCCTTGAAGGCTAATAATTAGCCTTCAGTGCAAGGTTGTGGACACTAAAAAATAATATAATAAGTATATATTAAGTTTTGTAATTTATATCCCAGGAAACATCCAGTCATATAGCACAAGCATGACTCAGGCCATGTTACACAATGTTTAAAGTGCATGCACACAGTATTATCATTATCTTCAAATGAAAGCCATCAGCATTCCATTCCGATCAGGCTAGCCACTGTGCTAATCAGGCTAACAGGAGTGCTAATTAATCTAACCAGAGTGTTAGTGAGGCTACAAAATGTGAATCAATTCTCTAAACTTGAACTTGACCTCAAAAACCCCTACCCAAACTCGTGAAAACCACAAGAACAAGAACAGTGTACCACTAGAAATGAGACAATTATACATCTTTTGTTTTATAGGGCAGCAGTCCTCGTTGTGGAAAATGAGATCAAGCGCATTCCAGCTATTTTGAAGGAGGTTCCAAAAAGCCAAATTGCAGACATGAGAAGACAGGTATCATTATAAAAAATGGCTGAATGGACTGAAAGAATTGAATAACAAAGAAACGGGGCAGACAGGACACCTGTTTGTCTCTTTTAATCACAACCATTTTATGCACATGGGTCTGATAACTGTTGTTTTTGTTTTTTTTAAGGGAAAATGGTTTTGGGAGAGATACTTCAACTCCATGGGAAAGATTGCTCTCACTACTCTGAGAGTCCTAAATGGCAGAGTTTATCGTTATACAGCTTGGCGGTATGAGGTAAGCAGTGAAATGAAGTGCAAATTTTGTGTTTGACATAAACTTTTTCCGGTTGAGATCCTGTAGAGAAGAACCCAGTGAGTCTAGCTTCTACGATCATTTTTAATAATAATTGTTTTTATTTCTTGTTTTGTAGGATTGGAATGCTCCTTTTGTGACATCTTCTGGAAAGAAAACGGTGAGTAACAATGATTGCTTTGCTAACCCTGGGGATGGGGGGTGGGGAACTCCCATATAAAAAAGATCGGGGTGCTTGTCATACCTTTTAGGGATTAAAAAAGTGTTTTTGGTACCTCTTAGGGTCCACAGCTGGAGCTTTCATGGTACCTTTAAGGGTATTGAGCTGAAAATTTTGACAGGAGATATTTGGCAATAAACTATACAAGTAAAGAAGGTATTCAAAGCAATTGTCTTTATTGCTATTAAAATTATGAGTGGTACCTCTTAAGGGTGAAAAAAGAAAATTCAAGTCACGCCCACGAAACAGGATCTTGGTATCTCTTAGGGGTTCTTTTCAAAATTCCGACAAGCACCCCTGTCCTTTTTATACGAGAGTTCCCTCCCTCCCTCTCCCCCCCCCCACCCCCCAGGTGCTCACAGGTATGTGACTTGCTGCTATTCTGGTTGTATATGAGACTCAAACAGGAGATTCTACTAGCAGGATAATTCATTAAGAACCATCAAATTTCTGATAGATTTTGTTAGCAGTACTGTCCAGGAAATTCAGAAATTTTACTGCCCTAGTCTCTCTCATCTCGAGGGGGTTGCCAGCAATCCTCACTAACCCAGACACATTTTAAAATGTTCATCAACCTCCTACATAAGAGTGTCCTGCCTGCTCACTAAAGGTTCATAAAATTCCCATTCAAATGGTCATTTTTTCTCCCTGTATTTTTTTCTTCAAACCAGGCCAGCCTTGTACCACCATTGTTTTTTCCTCTTCGTCCTTATGCAAATCAAGGATTTACTGCTGTGGTGCTGTGTTATGACCGGGTGGACACCATGTTTAAAGTGATCACAAAAATTGCAGACACCCCCAGTTTGACAAAGGTAAGCTATGGGATGTCTTGGTTAGAGACTTCAATTTATCTAAGCCCAGTCAGATTTTATCTCTAGAAATGTCTTGTAGTAATGTAATTGTTGTGCTATATTGGAAAAATGGTAAGAAAAGGAAAAGAAAGTTTGATGGGCAGTAATTTCAAAGTAATCAGTCATCGATGTAGGTTATGGTAACAGAGGTGAATTGTTGTTGTGATTGCCTTAAGTTATCTTCCAAACCAATGCATAACCAGGCTAGAAAATTTATAGATCGATTGATCAATCAGTTGGCCGGCTATTCAGCCAGGAAAACTTGAAATTAACGGGTCTAGATGACTCTACATTTTATCACACTGGCTTTCCCTTCATTTTTCCTTTGCTTTAAATTCTGGTGTTAGTATTGCATCATCTAAGGCCTCAATAGCCTGCGTAGCTAATGGGATTCGCGCGCGCGGTCTTTCTGTCGGCAGAGGCACCTCGGTCCACCTCTAATGAAGCTGTGAGCAGAATAAGGAGAATAACCTATCTCCACAATTCACTTGCGGCATCATTACCTCGGCTTCAAGCTACCTATTGTAGGCTTCACTTGTGGCTCCGTCGCCGAAACAAAGCATTAACGCGATATCCCGTCAGCTATGCAGGCTAAGCCCTCCCCCCATCAAACTCTCTCAGCTATGCGAGTAGCCTCAGTGAGTATGGGTGAATTAAGCTGTCGATTTTTTGTTCCCCCTTTCACAGATAGTTGTTGTGTGGAACAATGTCAATAAAGCTCCTCCATCTGGTATGTAAATTCTTTTTTTGCTGCATGTCACGATTTTTCACGAGATCTCTTAGGCCTTTGGTCTTGAGCAGTTATTGCTAAACAGGTCAAATCTTAAGCCTTTTGTAGCAGTGTCAGTAAAGCACCGGCACTTTCTTTACTCTAACCTCTGTTAGTCTTACTAATAAATACACTGAATTGTTCTCCTTACAGTTGCCAAGTGGCCTAAATTGTCGAAGCCAGTGAAAGTGGTTCGGACTAAAGAGAACAAGCTAAGTAACAGGTAGGAAATCTCCTTCTCTCTGCCATCTCAAAAATCACTACTTCGCTGGGAGCAGCGTGCCAGGCGCAAGAGACAAGATAGAGCTCAAGTAAGAGTCACCAACTTCCACCTCTTACCCTTTATATTACCTCTTGGAGCCTTCGCCGGCGTCTGTGGGAGACCAAGGGGTGGGGTGGGGGGCTTAAAGGAGTCATGTCACCGTTTGCGTATCTTGAAAAGTTTAACTTAAATTTTAGTTCGTTGTTTGTAATCCATGTTAATCTTCTCCATCCTTAACCATCCTTGTTCCTTTAAGCTCTATTATTATCTCTTTAGTGTTTTACTACTGCTCTAGGTGAACTACTATTTTCAGGTTCCCTCAATTTAAAGGCAATTTTTTATGTGGTTAAAATAACTCAAAATACCGTGACTGCGCTCCGGTAAAAGTCGAATAGCGTATTGAATCCGCAGTCCTTATGTTTGTGACCTTGCTGGGGTTTAACACTATATTCTCAAATGCCCTGTCTTCACCCAGGAGTATAAATCGGTACCAGTGAACTGTAGGGGAGCCTTACTGAATCCTAAAGTTAACCTTTCCATGTGTTGGACCTAGCATCCCATTTAGAGAGAGAAGTAATACTCCAGGTTGCTTCATGCTACGGAACAGCTGGGATAAAATCCGGCAACAGCTGGCCATGTGTCCGAGTGCCACTTTACGTTTGCCCTTGCCTCTTGCTATCGTGCACTCGCCTGACTTCTGGAAAAAAAACTAGACTGTTTTCTACTAAAATGCTCGAAAACGGTACCTAGTTCCCCCGGCTTTTGTCTGCGAGAAAGGCAGTATATCACATACACTCACTCCATCTTGAAAATATTGGACATTTTTCTCCATTTTGCGATCATGATCGCCTTAACCTGAGGTGTTTTCTACCGTATAAAACTATTATCAAATGTTGATATCTTCGTACGCCTGAAAATGACATGTTAAGTTAGTCTCCGAGTGGAAAGGTCTCAAAACATTTTCCATAAATGCCCGTGCTTAACACTGACCCTTGTGTATTGTTGTCAGCGTTTTCCTTGTTGATACACAGTCGGTTTGTTTCACCATTAGGCTTGGCGAGAGTTCCCTGATCGTCTTGTGGGATTCCCTGGTCGTGTTCACACCAGTGAGAACACCAGTAATCGCTATAAGTATGAGTCTGAGTGGACCAACAGCGTATCTATGGTGCTAACTGGATGTGCTTTTCATCATAAGGTAAATGTGCGCGCTGGATGCTTTGTTTTTGATTGGCAGCCACTTAACGGCATTCGTAGCCTTACTTTGGTGGTCACGCAACGCTTTTTCTGGACATTAGTTGCGTGACAAGCCAGGTAACCGCAAGGTGGCATGATAAATCGCTAAGGTGCTGACAGGGAAGGCAATGCAAAAATCGGGAGAGTCTGGAGAGGAGTCGACTTGGAAACTCGTAGTGCCGAGACTTTGGTGATCGTAAAAGAAATCCAAATCCAAATTGCCTTATCTCAGACTCGAAGATTAAAGGTGTTCAGAGGGGAAGAAACTGTTATCTTGCAAAACTAGTCTCTCGCAGTCCTCGGCTCTAGAGGGGTTTTTGTTAAATAGCATTGAGAAGAAATGGAAAAGAGTAATTTCTCTTCTCTTTGCCATAGTTAGTAGTATGTCTTTGCCTTGCTGGTATTGACTGTGCTGCTTCATTCCTCGTTTTCCCTCACAGTTCTTTCCAGCGTGCTGTGTTTAGTGAATTTTCCGTGTATTTTTTCCCCTCCACAGTATTTCAGTCACCTGTTTACATATATGATGCCGTCGTATATTAGAGACTGGGTTGACAAACACATGAACTGTGAAGACATTGCCATGAACTTCATGGTTACCAACTACACTGGCAAGGCACCGATTAAGGTACTTTTGATCCATAAGGTGTAGAGTTCATAATAATTCATAAGAAGAAAGCACATATATGTCACACGTCGAGCCTTCATGACTTTCGAAGTTTAATCCAGTTAGGTTCCTAGAAGCCTCACTCTACTCTGTTGCTGAACAGTACAGTAGGAGACGATCGTTTTTATTTTGGCATTAAACGATAATTGAAAGCATAAGCAGCAAAATCGAGAAGTCTTACTCACATTTCAGTCTCGTTCCCTCACTCCAATCAAGGTCCCTATTTGAATCCCAAATGTACATGTGGACTTGGAGGACTAATTACTAGGAGGGAAGTTTAATAAGAAGATTGAGGGTTAAATCAGTACATCACCACTATCTCGTAACTTGCTATCGTAATTCACGAGTTAAAAAGAGGAATGATTTGATTTTTCTTGTTTTAGAATCCTCCTCAACATCAGATGATTCTATCTTATATCAACAGGTAACCCGCAGAAAGCGTTTCCGCTGCCCAGATTGTGTGACTGAGTCGTTGTGGGCCGATCCTAGTCATTTCGTGGAGCGGTCAGAATGTTTGAATGAGTTTGTACGAGCTTACGGTCACATGCCGCTTGAAACTGTGGAATTCAGGGCTGATCCACTGCTGTTTGGGGAAACGCTGCCCGACAAATTGAAGCTGTACAAAGACATAGGAAGCATCTAACAAGAGTTTTTGTGTATTGTAATGTTTTCTAAGGGGTGAAAGGAGAAGACTATTCAACCTCAAGACAACTTCTTTGCTTCTTTGTAAGGTGTTCGCAGAAAGCAGAAGGAGCCTTGTAGGACGTGGAAAAATGGTGTTGAGGGTGGGTTAGTGGCAGGGCAGGCCGTGTTTGTTCAGGGTTTTTTGGTCAGAACTGCAACCAACAGAATTAAGTCAGATTCAAAGATATGGGGCAAAATTAATACGAAAGATTTTCTATACAGGACAGCCTGGTTCTTTTATTTAAACTTTCACAGAATTATAATTAGTTTCAAACCCCTTTCTGTATCAGTCATTTTTCAAACTTGATCTATCTCAGTCTTAGAACCGTTTACCAAAATACATGGTTTACACGCACAAACTCTTCTACTGGTGGTAAATAATCTTTTCTTCTACTATGCCATTTTCCGAGAAGACCTGCGAGTAACGCAAACGACCATTTTACAGGCAGGTTTAATTACATGCTGATTTGCGTTCAGGTCTTAGATTTTAATTTTCTCGAATTTGCACAAAAAATTGATGTTCCACATTTGCGCAGAGAAAAACTACTTTCATTTACTGAAATAGAGTTACCTAAGCAATATATTAAACTACTTCGAGCTTTCAGAGCTCCTGTCAGAGCCTAATGCTCCGACTGGCGCCATGTGAGATGACGAGCTTTCAGAAGTTATGTT